TCCAAGTATCGCCTGTCGTAGAGGATACGAGGGATTCTTCCGTCTGACTTCCTTCTCAGGTCGATGTTCTCGACGAAAGCGAGGTTGCTTTCGCCATAGACACTCAGACACGGTCCACGCTCCTCGTACACGAATGTCTTCGCACTGATTGAGGCAACTCTCAGGGTGCCATTCTTGAGATCCTTGCAAATGTTCATTCTCTTACTGTAATAAGGACACTTTCTTATTACAGGCGGATTAGGAACTATTGGTACAGGTGGACAAATTGGTACAGGTGGACAAATTGGCACAGGTGGACAAATTGGTACAGGTGGACAAATTGGCACAGGTGGACAAATTGGCACAGGTGGACATGGATTTGGCTTACTTTCTGGTACACAGATAGTTGTATCACACGCCTTACCAAAGTTGTAACACACTTCGTAGTATTTGCACTCCTTGAATCCATCAGTGGAATAGGCACAAATCACCTTGTAGTCGCATTCACACTTGTTGATGTACAATGCGTAGTTCAAAGGGTAGTTTGGGTCAAATGGAACCACGGCACCATTCTGGTAGAGAACCATTGGCATAAGATGGTCGTTGTAGCCACCAACCTTGGCCTTCTCAACCCCACACACCTTCAGGGTCATGATGAGCTCCTGGAAGTTCGATGGATTCACCACAGCAAGCTCCATCTGAGTTCCGTCGATGTCCAGGTGCTCTACGACCTGTGCGTCACAGGGGATCTTCACTACGTTGATCTGCTTTGCTATTGCAAGAAGAAAGAATGCAATTGCTACAAACATGACTTATGCATGTACTGTTTATTTATAGTGGAAAAGGTCCATGGCACAATAATTTCCAAAACAGGAAATGAAATGGAGGGTGACGTAATAAAACAATAAACAGACGTAAAGAGGTGGAAGAAGAAGAGAGAGGGAGATAGAGAGAAGAAGAGGGAGATAGAAATGGAATACGGTTAATTGGATATGAAAATAAGCTTAAAAAGCATAAATAGACTGAAAGTGGATACCCTAGAAAGAGGAGTAGAAGAAATGAAGGAGTCAGAAAGTGGAGGAGTCTGCTTCGTAGAAGGAGCAGTTGAATTTGTTTGTTTATCAAGATAACAAACAAAATAACAAACAGGGACCCATATGGAATTCAACGAAATAAGGTGCAACACAAGAGGCGAGGAGGAGAAGAAGGGCGAGGAAGCAGTTGGTGAGGGAGATGCTGACCTGAGAAATACCCAGTTAAAACACGACCTTAAATTATTGTTGAAAAATAATGCGACCAAAATAGGCATTCTGAAAAGAGTGCTGTTTAAGGACGGGAAGAGAACGAGATCGCTTCAGGAGCTGCTGAGCAGACCAGAGACGCCAGGTTTGGTCTGCAGAATACCCATATCCAGCAGCACAGTCGAAGAGGATCCAA